AAAGTAGGGATAGTTTTAGCAACATTGCCTGGAGTAGGGGTAGTTTTGTTTTTCTTTAGATATTTAGCAGCAAAATCCCAGTGTGCAGTGAGGTGAGCATATTGTTTTGGAATTAATAGTTTTGATAAAGTCATTCATTGAGTCTAGCAGTTTTGATAGTATCAGTGAGTAGACAGTGACTGATTTTAATACTTCAGATATTGTTAATAGGTAGTCATTCATGACTTTAGTAGTTCACATATTGTCAGTCAATGAGTTTAGTTGTTCAGATACTGGCAGACAGTAGTCATTCAGTGAGCTTAATAGTTCAGATTTTGTCAGCAAATAATGAGTCAGTAAGCTTAGTTCAGATATTGTCATTTAGAAGACAGTCACTGAGTTTAGTAGTTCAGATACTGTCAGTAAGTAGTCAGCCATCATGCACTACTGCAGTTCACATTATAATGTGTTTAGGTAGGAGATAGCTCAAAGCAGTAGCATGCACAAAATATTGAAGGCAGACACATGAGGAATATCTAATGTGTACAAAAAGGTAAGCACATCATTTATGAATAAAGTTTTGATAGTGTCAGCAGGAGTCAGTAACTGAGTTTAGTAGTTCTGATAATATCAGTGAGTTTAGTAATCAACAATGAGAAGTCAGTTACTGGATTTTGTAGTTCAGACATTCTTAGAGTAGTCACTCAGATAATGAAAGCACCCAGTCACTGAGCTTAGTATTTCACATACTGAGTGAGTGAGTAGAAAGTCAGTGAGTATAGTAGTTCAGATACTGTTAGTCAGGAGAAAGTTTGTGAGTTTAGTAGTTGAGATTCTCTTAGTCAGTATATAGCCAGGGAGAGTAGTTGTTCAGATATTATCAGTGAGTTTAGCCATTCAGGTATTCTCATTAAATAGACTGTAGTTCACACATTGGTAGTCAGTAGATAGTCAGTGAGGTTAATATTTCAGATATTGGCAGAGTTTAGACAGTTGCTGAGTTTAATAGTTCAGATATTGTTAGGGAATGGACAGTCACAGAGTTTAGTAGTTAAAACTCTTTCAGTAAGTAGTCAGTCATTGAGATGAACAATTCAAATACTGGCAGCAACTAATCAATCACTGAGTTTAGTAGCTCAGGTATTCTCTGTGAGTTAAGTAGTAGGCAGTCAGAGGGGGATTAGTGGTTTAGACATTGTAAGCAAGTAGTCAGTCAGTAAGTTAAGTAGTTCACATATCATCAAGCAGTCAGTTACTGAAAAAGTTATATATTATCAGATACACAGAGTATAATATATATGGTTACAGTATTCACCAGGTTAACCTGGCATCATCAGGTACAACAACTACAATGAGTGAACTCATAATCTAGGTAACATGAAAAACTAGAGGATGGATACACTAGTATTTGATTGGTTGAGCTCACAGTGAAAGCCAGCATAATGCATTTGAGGGCATATGGGACTAAGGCTATTATGAATGGAAGGACATGGTCTATGTGGATGAACCCGAGGTAAGGTCATGAGGCAGGGGCTATAGGAACATGGAGAAATGTGTCCAATTTGGTCATCCATAAGTCTGGATGGAAAGACGAGAAAAGAGAGAAGTAATTCTTCTTCTGAAAATGAGGGATGATTGAAATGTGAGTGATGAAGGATATGTCAATGAATGGGTGTCAGACACAGTCTTTTTTATGGGGACAATAAATGGGCAAGAGTAATAACCTGGAAAAGCATTAGGAACTTGCTCTATGGATTGCTTCTCTGATAGGTTTGAAACTGTCCTATCCAGATATTGGAGGTCAAGACTAGAATGACCCATTTGACTGGAGCAAAATGAGCCTACAAATGAGCAAACTGGACAGATGGCATCCCACAGGACCTGAACTGACAGGATGGTCACATACTATTAGGACAATGGGAGGTACTTTGGGTGGAAGGAGGATGGGAAGAGGTGGAAGGCAGGGAAATTAAAAATGAATGATGAGGAGGGGTGGGTGAGGTTGTGGGATAGATGTGGAGGAGTAAGATTGGTACAAACTTGGAAATAATGAGGAAAGTGAAGACTGATTCCAGGCTGCCTCAGCACTTGATTCCAGGGAATCAGTGACACTACCAAGGAACTCTTAATGAAGTAAGGGGGCAAACCAAAGGTCAAGAAAGAAGGAGGTAATAAGGAACCAAGTGAAAGATGAAAATGCAGAGGAAATCAAAGATGCCATGGAAGAGAAAGGAAGGGTCTGAATGTACCTTGTAAGCTCATTATGGGAACAGTGGAGTGCTCCCATCATGAGATTGAGAGAGAGGGAAGACAACAAAGGAGTGTAATAAAGAAATTATGAAGTCAGGAAATATAGGTACTGGACAGTGACATGGCCAACAAAGAGTGCATCCCCCAGAATGAAACTCTGACTCAAAGAACTGGATGTCCAGGAAAGGAAAGGGAGAGAGACTTTTAAGTAAGAAGGTAGGAAACTGTCAGGCACAGAAGACATGGCATAATATTGCAAAAACAAATATATGTTCTAGACAAGATTAAAATAAATGGAAATATTAGAAGAGAGTGGAAAAACCTAGAAATTGCAAATGGAAGGGTTTTGTGAAAGAAATTGGGAAGTATTATAAGTAATGGGGTAAGAAAAAAGAATGGTACATACCATGTAATAAGTTCATAGAAAATGTGAAGAGGACTGAACTTGTTTTTCAGAGGGGGTGAAGGTACCCTAAGTAAAGGCAGGAGGTAAAAAAAATGCTCCATTTCATCCATTTAAACTTCACGTCCAAAATTCTGTAAAGGGAATGGTGTAGTGTGGATAGAAGAAGATAGTCCTGGCAGTAACATGGACCTCATCACACATTGGACAATGGCTGTCATGACCTCAACAGGCAAAGAACTTCCAAACTGTTGGTAATTGTGGGTGATATTCTGTACTCACATCAGCAGAATATAAATTCACATTAAATTGTCAATTCATATTTTAAAGGTTGAAAACACACAAAGTAAAGTTGTTGATGTAAAATACTTCAACAAGTATCAGTAAAAGATAAACACATCTTTGCATGACTGTCATCATGCAGTAGCACAAGGCTGGTGGCATGCAAGTCTCTCAGGCAGATTAGCATGACTTCAAGAGGAAAATAGCTTTCAGTGTATGGAAGTGATTTATTGTATTGAAACTCCTCAGTTCATTAGATAATTAAGTAATTCTTAAACGGGATAAAGGAAAAGGTATAGTAATTTTGAATAAGAAAGGTTAAATAGAGAAAGTTTTAACTATTTTGAATAATAATATTAAATTTAAGAAATTGGAATCTGATCCTACAGCTTTGAAAGACAGACATTTACAAAACAATCTTTTAAAAATTAAGAAAGAAGAATTAATATCTCAAATGACTTATAATGATGAAGATGAAGATGGTTGATAAAGTATTTTATTTACAAGGTTCAAATGTTTCAGAATAACTTATTCCATCTTCAGCAAAATCTGTTACAAAGATGATTATTACTAATCTTGAACTCTACATTAAAGAAAGTCTACTCATAGCTAAAGACCACCTGACCCTTAATGACTCACAAAGCTTTTTAGCTCTGAAATTGTTCTAAATTTTCACACTTAACTCAGCTGTTGTGTAATATATATATATATATATATATATATAACTATTGTTCATCTGTACCTATTTACCGTCTTTTCTTAATAACTGAATAAACTAATGATTATATTATTATATTATTAATTTAGTAGTAGTCATCTCTGTAAGGATTTTCAGATTTCACTAAAGATGGAATAAGTTATTCTGAAATGTTAGAACCTTGTCAATAAAATGTTTTATGTTTTATCAACCATCTTTATTTTCATTATTAAACTTTGGTTCCCCATCATGAATCCATTGCTAGACTTATATTGAAATTAAACTAGTTGGTTCACACCATGAAATATTTTATGGATTACTTAAAGTACAAAAAATTGTCCTATAAGACTGACTGTGTTATGTATAGGTACTTTCACTCATAAACTAGCAGGTTTTCTGGTTGGCATTTTTTAGCCTTATGTAACACGAGATTATGGTAACAAATAGCTTTGGATTTTCCAAAGATGTCTCTAAATTAGTTTTTGATGAATCTGTCCATACTGCTAGTTTAGACATAGAGTTTGATAGTTCAGATATTATCAAAGTGTAGCCAGTCACTGAGTTTAGCTGCTTTGATAGTGCCAGCAAGTAGTCAGTCATTGAGTTTAAGAATTCAACAGTGTATGACATGAGGTAAGGTAAGCTATGTGCACTTAGTAACAGTGCACTAAGAAGAAATTTTTCAGGGGGGGGGGGGGCAAAACATTTGAAATTTTCCAAATACTAGGTATGTGAAATATGGATCATACATGTACTAGCAACACATTTCCAGCTAATCTAAGGGGTAGTTTTTATTAAGAGCTTTAAATTTGAGAATTGTTTTACCACAACTCTCCAAGCTCGGGGATCATTGCCCCCTATAAATAGGCCACTGCTTAGTAATTATGACATGTGTCAATAAACTGTTCAATTTTTTATAGTACAATACAAAATAGGTGTGATAAATTGGTTGTATTGCATTGATCATCTACTTTAACAATAAGAGTAATGATTTTTTTAACAATTCAGATTCTTTTTCAGAATATATAGGTTTAACTGGACAATCTAGACACCACTGGAACACCTTGGTGTCTATGCTAACATTTTAAATGTAGAAGAAATGCAATAATTAAAACAATTAGTAAATCTCAAAGATTAGAGAAGAAAATAGTTACTTATCTTTGATGGTAGATTTAGGTACTGCCATATTTCTAGAAATTTCCTCAAATAAAGATGGAAAGCAGTCATTAAATGTATCTTTATCACTCATATAATTTTTAATTTCTAAACTAAGTGCAAGCTATTACTAAAATTTACATTGTGGATTTTCTGACTTGTAATATACTTGTTCCTTCACATAAAAAAACGTACCTTGTACCATTTATTCTTAGATGTTTAAGAAGTACTCACACATTGTAGAATTCTCACTTTCTGTCCATGCTTGATGTTTTTTTACTTCACTCTCAAACACCTGAAGTAGGATATTGTTAACGTAAGTTATACATAAGTATAGAATATAAATACTTAGTATTGTTTCCAGTAACAAAACTAAAAATAGTAAGGTTATAAATACATTGTGAAACTATTATAGTATAACTTGTATAAATTGACAATGGCACAAATACAGAAAACGTATAACAACTGACTTCCCTGTAAAAATAGCATGTTATGTAGATATAATAATAGTTTGTTTGTTTATTTTGAATTTTGAGGAAAGTTAATCGAGAGCTATCTGCATTAGCTGTCCCTAATTTAGCAGTGAAAGACTAGAGGGAAGGCAGCTACTCATCACCACTCTTTTACCAACAAATGGTGGGATTGACCATCACATAATAACACTTCCATGGCTGAAAGGGCTAGCATATTTGGTGGAATGGGGAATCGAACCAGCGACCATCAGAGTGTGAGTCAAGAGCCCTAACCACCTGGCAATGCTGGGCAATATAGTAATAGAACTTATCAACATACTTATCTTATATCAATAGAAGATTTGAAATATCTGTACATACCAAGTTGAAGTGTTCTCCTTCTTCAACTGAGAAATATTCTTTAATCTTTTGGTAAATTTGTTGAGCTTTTTCTTGGACTGCAACACTGTTTTTGAACTTGCAACACTATGACATACTTATCTTATATCAATAGAAGATTTGAAATATCTGTACATACCAAGTTGAAGTGTTCTCCTTCTTCAACTGAGAAATATTCTTTAATCTTTTGGTAAATTTGTTGAGCTTTTTCTTGGACTGCAACACTGTTTTTGAACTTGCAACACTATGAGAATTTAAAAACAGCTTTCAAGTTGTTAGTTTTATTGTATAACAGATATGCCAAAATGGAAATTGGACAGAAAAAGATTTACATATTCTGGTAAATATAATGGTAATGTAGGTTTATTTCGATTTTAAAGATTAATTAACAAACAAAAGAATAATCTTTGTTGATTTTTAAAAAAACACACAAAGGCTTTCATTAATACTGCTACTGTACAGCAACATCAATTCGTTTTAATGTGAGTATTTTTGAATAATTTTTGTAATTGATTGTTGTAAGTTTAGCCAATAGCATTTTTGAATGCTTTTTATGGTATAATTAGTCATGTTACTTCATTCTAGATAAACAAGAATACAAACTTCTAGAATAAAAACACTGGCCACTTATATATATATAAGTAAACTTAACAAGAAAATCAGACAAAATCTGGTATAAAAGTGATTATTATTAGTAATTTGTTAGAATATTAGAATACTTGTAAAGATAGTGAGTTACTGTTTTCACATTTAGCTATTGTTGTATACATTCAGGTTTAGAATTCATGTGTAAGAGATCTATCTTTGCACAGATTAGTTATGTAGCCAAACTCTAGTGTGAAACTGGGAGTATCTCTTGTTAAAATCAGTATATTCTGGAACATCTATTACAAGCTTTTAATAATAAAAATGTGTAAATAATAATCCATAATTTTAATTTTTTGTATTTCTGTAGTAAATAATCAAATCTGATTTCTCAATAATTTAATTGAAAGACTATTATATAACATTATGTGGTATTTTAATAATGTTTTAGGATGTACTATTTCAAATTCAGAATGTTTAAAGTTAAAATTTATATTTTGCATTCTTGTAAAATGATATTTTAATTTTAATAACATTTCCATAATGATATTCAAAACCTTATTGCACATTCTAATCATGCAGGGGTCCATTCCTAAATTTTTTGTTGGGGCCAATTTGGAATTTGATTGAGATTTGATGGGCCATAATATTTTTCCCCCCGAAAAAGGTTTAAGCCCTTTGCATTTTTTGCTAACTCCAAAGACTATGTAATAAAATTCCTATTCAATTGTGATGCAGAAACTCTTAAATTTAATAACAGTCAAAAATATTTTCATTAAATTAAAAAACTTTCGAACTTTGTGCACTATAATTTCATGTCACGGGCTGTAGAAAATAAGCTGGCATACCAAACTTGGCCCACGGGCCATATGGTGCACCTCTGTTCTAATGATTTCAAGATGTATATCTCTGTCAATAGATCACATATATGGTTATATAAAAAGGTGCAACATGTTCAACATGAAAAACTGACATTAGAATAACTAGGTATGGTCAGTTACATATAATGATAACAATAAAAGAACCTTAAACTTACATGAAAGAAATATACTGAGATTCTGTAAATCTTACAATGTGGAATCTGCCTATCCTATGTGTCACCAACTTAGGCTGCAATAAGCCAATTTACCAAAAAACACCTTTTTGTTTGTTTGTTGTTGAGCACAATGCTACAAAATATACTATTTGTGCCTTGCCCACCACAAGTATTGAAACCTAATTTTTAGCATTATAAACCTTCAGACTTACTGCTAACCACCAGGCCTCCCAAGAAATCTTGCAACTTGGGTGGTGAAAAATTATGAAAATAACACCACAAAACTGAAAAATAGCAAAATAATAGGACATAAATGACACAAACTTTCTGAAACATAAAACAGACTTTCCATATCCAATCTCCCGATAAAACATTTACAGCTATCCAAACAAAACTGGAATATCCTTCATGCAGCATTCAAGTAATCAAAACCAAAACTGGAAAAGTGTCAACCCAAATCACTGAAGAGCATCTCTGCTTTCCAACCAGAACACATTTTGGCTTTGCCATGATATAAAAATGGTCTTTTTGAAGATAGCAGATCATCAACCAAAAAATGTCGGATGTTAATAAATTAGAAATATATACCTATAATGTCTGTACAAAAAGGTGATGAACAATGATAATGGTTTCTCACTGACACTTGTCAAGTTCTTATTGGACCGGATTCTTTACAGTAGGTGTCTATGACTTGTTGGCAATAAATTTCAACAATAAACAGACAGCACACAATCCACTTGTTTTAAAATAATATATTCAAAACAAGTCAAATGTATGTACAAAACTTTGTTACACTATTGGTTATCACAACTGCATCTAGAGCTTTAAATATTTGTCTCTTTTTCATAAAAGTCCACCTAGGTGGATTCAATTACTTTAGAACACCCATTGACAAGACAAATTATTCTCTTCTATCTTGTTATTACAATACAAGCTGTGAAACTCACTTTAAAAATCGCCTGTTGTGACTAAACTGATACACAGTCTAATTTCTAATTTCACTTTTATACTTTCACTAACTTACTTTACGTGCACTAACTTGGTCACTCATAGATATATATATGTATTGCCCAACTGAGGCCTAGATCTTTCTACACACTACGAAACATTATGATAACAATACTCAATGAAACAATGAGAAAAACTTAAAATGTTCAAATAACATGATGTCAATTCACAGCGACTGAACTGATTTGTAAACGGTTATGTAAGCAAATCTATCATAACTATTGCTTCTAAAAATAACTTACTTTAACATTTGCACAATATAAACATAATAATACTCTCGTATTAAAATTAAGATGAACAGTCATGTATATGTAATAACACTACTTTACCATAAGTACTAATATCTCAGTTTCTTTTTTTCTCATATGTTTTAAATAAACCCTTTGAATGATTTTCATTAATAAAACAATATTACGGTTAAAATACTAACTTTCCTGACTGTCTGAACAATATCTGGTTCTTTGGCCAAGATGGTTTGGGATAGTGGAAGATTCTTGAGTTCATTCATGGCTCTCAAACATCCTTCTATATTCTGTGAATTCAATATTTTATCTTATTCTTAACTTTTTGTTATGATCTTGTCACAAACTTTTGAACTTCAACTTAATCTTGTCATAAATATTTTTACTTTCTGTTTAAAATCAAAGAACCTGCATAAAGAACTTTTTGATTAAACTATAAATTTTAGTAAGCATCACTGGTTCATTTAAGTTGAAAAACTAAATGTCACATACATTTGTGAAATATATTAGCTAACAATTTAACTATAAAACTGTATTTTAAAGAATTTTTTATGTTTTGACAAACTCAATTAAAACAACTTACTAAATTTGTGTAACTTAAGCTGAATTTGATGGCGTCATCAATTTCATAAAGCTTTGAACCTACAGTTTGATGAGTAAAATAAGAATTAGATCAAAGTACTATTGCTATAATAAAAATCCATATATTAATATCTCTGAAAATGTGTAGCATAAAAATAAAAATGAATTACAATTAAACAAACCTGAATGTTTGGGAAAGGTTTTGAAAACCTTCCAAAAAGTTTTTCAATTATTGAGTTTCTTTCACTGGGATAGAGTTCATGTACATGCATTGATTAATATTTAATACTAACAATCAGTAATCTTCTTAAAAAACACTGAAATTTGAAATACCTATCACAATCAGTTTCATCATATTGTATTATGTGTTGCGAAAATAATAGTTTTTTGTGGCAGTGTTTGTTTATAGCATTACAGTATTACTTTGAAGTTCACAGACAATGAACATCAAATGAAATAAAATGAACTTACACTTTTTACTTATTTTTTTCTTGTGAGTCCTATCATCTTGTTTTGATCTAAATACAAATTAAATGAAATATATAACACTTTTAAACCTATTTTGCAATGTAATATGCTTAAACAACATACATATATATATATATATATTTCCAGTAATACATGCAATAAAATAAAACTGTGCACATATTATACAGTACACCACAATTTATTGATGTAATTAACAAACATATCTCCACAAGGAATTATTCATGTTCCTTTATTGAACCAGAAATATGTAAGTAATATATCTAAATAATCACATATTTGATACCAGTAACAAAACATATTTTTATGGGATGATGTCTTTAGTTGTCTTTTGCTCACCACAGTACCTATATTTATAGAGAAGTTGAAAAATATGTGGCATTGATGTTGCTAATTTATTCTTCTGAATTATTCAGCAGACATGCTGTTTAAGATACTAAATATAAATAAACAAGAAACCCAACCTCTCATGCAATATATCACTTGTCACTAAGTTATACTAGTTTTGGGGAATTCCATCCCTTGTCAATAACTCTTGGCAAGGTCAAATAAAAAAAAAGGCTTCTTGCCAGACTTCTTATATATCTTTTTTAGTATCTTAAACTTTTGTCTTCATTTGAAAACTTCATAGACACAGTTGGAAGAGTTTGAAAAACAGATTATTTCAATATATTTAGTATTATCATTCTGTACTGAGTAAATTAAGACTTCTATAATGATTAAAGAGAACATGAAATCTTGGAAATACTATTAAACAGTATGAATCAACCGAGACACATTTTGAATTTTGTAAAAGTATTTTTTAAAAATCTGGTAGTTAACAAGAAAGGTTATTTTTAAATACTGGGAGACTCAATGTAAAATATTTGATGAGGATTTTCTTGGAGCAGCAGAAGTTCACATTAAGGTCTTCCATGTATCTACAAGATATCACATTAGTGTAAGATTATATTGTACTATTCACAAATATAGTGCTACAAAAAACTTACACAGTTTTATTTGTACTTAAAGCATCTTCATTTTGTTCTTCCTGCAAATAAAAAGGATAGCATGAAGCCAACATATTTTCTAAACTACTGTTCATGTGACCTGTACTGTAATATCAAAGAGTACCATTTTAACCATGAAATGAAGACATTTTTGTCTTTATTTTTAGCAATTCATTGAAACTGTTATTGCTAAAATGAGCACATAAAAAAAATCTTCTGATAAATTCCACATAGAACATTAGTAATTCAATTATAATACACAGAAGAATGAATTAAATTTGGATCATAACCAGATTCAAGTACATCACATGCATTATTATTCATCTGTACCAACATCTTTCAAAAAAGTTACCATTTGATACCTCAAACAAAGCTAGTATTATGGATGATTATATTAGGTCATCAAGAAATTAATGTCACTTTGTTTTAAATAGAAAAAAACCCAAACAAAACAAAACATTTGTTAAATGAAATAGTCTCCATTCTTATAGATGATGATTTTCCATCTTACAATCAGGTTGTTAATGCCCTGATTAAAGAAATCACTTGGCCTTGAAGCAAAAAAAATATGTTGATGTCCTCTTTAACACCTT